CATATCTAACCAAAGAGTCACTGTTGTCTGTAGACGCCTCCAAGGTCATGTGGTCAGAATGACTGCATGGAGTGCTGTTACCTTCCCGCAGAAATTGTACCTATTGATCTACTCACATTTGCATGTTTTTGAACTGCTAGGTTTACAGAAGTTGGGGCTAACCTTTCGGTCAGCAAGTTCAGCAGCTCCGCAGTTTAACCCACTGCAACACCAGGGAGCTTGAAGACATTAGTTAGGAAACCATTATTAGAATCATTTATGTGTACTAATCTGTCAAGTCAATATAAAAATAAGATAGATTTGTCAGAATGACTGCTTAAAACAAATATAGCAAAGTTTTTAAGAAAATATTTTGTTAAAGAAAATATAGCCCACACTGCTTAGGAAATTTCTGGGGTCATCTCCTGAAGGTGAAAGCAAGCTATGAAACTGAATAAATAGGTGACTGGATTAGTTAAATATGCTGGAAACATATCTCCCCCTGCGTACTGCCTCGTAATTTAAGATCTACTGGGGAAGCCCTGCTCTTGGTCCCACCAGCTTCGCAAATGCGTCTGGTGAGGACGAGGGACAGGGCCTTCTCAGTGGTGGCCCCCCCGCTTGTGGAATTCGCTCCCCAGTGAGATCAGATCAGCACCCTCCCTCCTTTCTTTTAGGAAAAAACTAAAAGCATGGTTTTGGAGCCAGGCCTTTGGCTAGTGGGTACAGCAGCACTTTAGACACTCAACCCGGACCATAGGACTGTTACGACAATTGAAAATGGCTTTGTGATTTCGCGATTATTGTGATTATATAACTATGTGATTATGTGATTTTAATAGTTTTAATTCACTGTGTATTATGATTTTTACATTGTGTTACTGATATTGTGGCATCGAATTGCTGCCTGTGTTAGCCGCCCTGAGTCCCCCCTCGGGGGTGAGAAGGGCAGGGTAGAAATGGTGTAAATAATAAAGAAAGAAAGAAAGAAAGAAAGAAAGAAAGAAAGAAAGAAAGAAACAAACAAACAGTGGACATGTGAGCCAGCAAAATAATATTAGAAAACATATTTAGTGAAAATGTGACAAATGCTAACAGTGAAACCCTTATATGTGCAGTCTATGCATATTTATGAGTGTTATTATAGGGTTGTTGTAAGTTTTTCAGGCTGTATGGACGTGTTTGGGAATCATTATCTCCTGTCGTTTCACCTGCATCTATGGCAGGCATCTTCAGAGGTTGTGAGGTCTGTTGGAAACTAGGAAAATGGGGTTTATATATCTGTCTAATTTCCAGGGTGGGGGAACGAACTCTTGCCTGTTGGATGCAGGTGTGAATGTTACAATTGGCCACCTTGATTATTAGCATTAATGGCCTAGCATTTTTCAAGGTGTCGATTCTTACTGCCCGGGGACATCCTTGATTGAGAGGTGATTAGCTGTCCCTGATTGTTTCTTGTCTGGAGCTCCCCTGTCTTTATTAACTGTTATGATTTTGGAGTTTTTTAGTACTGGTAGCCAGAATTCTGGAACATGGCCGTACAGCCTGAAAGACTTACAGCAAACCAGTAATTCCGGCCATGAAAACCTTCAACACAGTGTAATTTCTTTTACAGTCACACAAGCTTCAAGGAGCTGTAGTTAGTAAATTCCATGTTCCATTTAGAAACAACTGTACTTAGTTGACTACATTTGCCCCATTTTTAAAAAAGTATTGGATGATATCAGTCCAATCAGTGTAAGGCCTCTTTCACAGTATAATCATTGGGTTATTCCCATGACAAATGGAGAAAATAGGCACAACTTACTGTGTCCTCACGGGAAAATGTAGAGATTAAGATATATACATGCAGTCCTCTCCTCTCTTTCTGAAATTACATCTTAAGTTGACCAGGCACCCCATCAGTCTCAAATATCCAGAGAATAACTATCATTTGACCTGAACATTTACCTGCTGGTATTTTTGGAATCTCGTGTTTTTAGCCAATCACCATATGTAGCCCTGTCATTCGATAGTTTCCAAGGTTCTTGCCCTTTAAAGAAATCTGGGATAATTGCTCTGTATGGAAAAATAATACAAGCTCCTTTATCAAATACTAATTTTGATATTTTCGGATATTAGCCTATAATGCATAAACATTGACATCCTACAATCCCCAGCAATGTTTCTTAACCATTTTAAAATAGCTTTTAGTACATTATATTGGAGAGAAAGAACCATTCACTGTTATCTAGTGAGGGGTTTGTATGAATGCAGAATTCTTTACAAAACTACGAGGGTTTAATGAAAAGTAATGCCTCCACCTTCGTTACTTGGATGGGAATATTTAAATAAATCAAATGCAGAAATAATCCTTAGAACATGCTCCTTAACTACCACTATTCACTTTTCCACATAATCACCAGACAATTGGATACATTTCTGCCAACAATGAACAAGTTTTCTGAAGCCGTCACAGAAGAAGTCGATGCTCTGTTTCCACAACCAGCGTCTCACAGTTCTCTCATCCTGGGTACCCCTATTAAAACAGCTTCATTGGCTGCCGATACCGAGCCAAATTCAAGGTGCAGGTCATGACCTATAAAGCCCTAAACGGTTCAGGCCCCGCCTATCTCCGCGATGGCATCTCCTTCTATGAACTGTCACGAGCTCTAAGATCTTCCGGGGAGGCCCCCCTCTCGGTCCCACTACCGTCTCAAGTGCAGTTGGTGGGGATGAGAGAGAGGGCCTTCTCAGTGGTGGCCCCTCGCCTCTGGAACGCCCTTCCAAGGGAAATAAGACAGGCCCCATCCCTCCCCTCCTTTCGTAAGAGCTTGAAGACCTGGTGGTTTCAACAAGCCTTTGAAAATGACCAGTTCTAACTCAGCTCTACACATTGTTGAATACGGCCTTATTCTTCCTACCAATTATCCAGATTCTTTCCTCTAATCAGCCACGGAATGAACAGCCACAGACCCGTACCTAATATTATTGTTGCCTGCCATAGCATTGCACTCAATTCCCGGGCCCCCTAGAATTTTTGGGCTTGCACAAATCTTGGCCCGGCCTTTTAAATTTTTTAATTGCCTTGAACAGGCAGGATTACTTTTAATGTATGTGTGTTGTGGCGACAAATTTTATGCTTATATTTTGTTTGTTAATCTTATGGTTATGTTGTTTTTACTTTGTATGTTTTTGTGATGTTATCTGGGAACCGCTCTGAATCCCCTCGGGGAGATGGAGCGGTATATAAATAAAGTATTATTATTATTATTATTATTATTATTATTATGATGCACAGATCGTCCGATAGCCAAACAAAGCTGATAATGCTTGAAATTTCTCTCTGAGTGATACAACGATCATCCTGAATCAATCTGTCAACCTTTTGCTTGTGAAACTCGGTGGTTGCTGTCACAGGACATCCAACTCTTTGTTTGTCACACAAGTCAGATGTTCCCACCTCAACATCTTTAAACTTACTCACCCAACGATGCACAGTACTCACATCAACACAATCACCATAAACAGCTTGCATTCTCTGATGAATCTCCTTTGGGTGACACCTTCTGCTGTCAAGAATTCAATGACTGCACGTTGCTTAAGTCGCATTGACCAACCGTCTGCGCGGGTTCCATACTTTGCACTTTAACAACACAACCATTCAATGCTAAGGTTCCTGCCAAAACTGAACTGTAGAGGAGAGTCTACTGAACAAGCCAGTACCTGCCGCATACCAGAACTGCCATCTGTTGAGGAGTTACGAAGGTGGAGGCATTACTTTCCTTTTCATTTGTGTACACAAAATGTATAACCATTTTGTGTAGACAAAACCACACTTGACTTCATGCCAGAAATATTACAGAACATTTCATTCCCTATAAAATAGTGTGAGATGTTCCAAGGAATCCTTTGGGAAAACAGATCAACCAACATGGACCAAGTGGTGCAAAGCTACCCATTTTTTATATTATACAACCGGATTCTGAAAACAGTAAATTCTACATGAATTGGAATCGTAAAACTCCCCCTCCCTGCCTTTTTTTTTGCTTCTGCAGCTGAGATTAAAACTAATTATTGCCCAACTATTCCCTAAGGGTCACATATACAATTCTAATGTGTCTATTAAAAGCAAAAAAATTTGTAACTTAACACATTCAGGTGAGGAAAAGGCTACTTCTCAACCTCAAAGTTCTAGATATTTTGCATAGTTGAGTCTATTACTTTGTGTATAAGTCTACAAACAGAGATGAAATACATTAGATTGCTTTATATACACAGTGTCCATAGTTATAATAAGAAGTTTGATGGGTTAACCGATTAGGTAAGATACGATTGAGAAAAATCAAGAATTATTTCTTACATATATCCCTTAGATGCAAGCATGTCTGCTATATATCTGGTATTTGGTAGCTGCCACCCAAAAACGTCGTGTACCACTATGACAGCTTTGTCGGTAGGGTGAGGAGGCTTGATCACGTAAGCACTGATGTGTCCGACAGAAAATTCATGTCCCCGCCCTTCATAGTCAAACCTGTCTCCAAGGTTGCATGGGCAAGGTCTTGCTTTATTGGCCATCTGTCATAATGAAAACAAGATTCACAAAGGTTAATGCAACTAAACTTATTTATCATATCAGGAGCAAACCAAGGATGCAGTTGTAATGTATTTTTTTAAAAAAACATTAAGTTTAGAAACTTGGCATTCTATTAAATGTCCTTTGACCAGTAGCTGGCCACCTGGAGTGTTTCTGGTGTTGCTATAAGAAGGTCCTCCATTGTGCATGTGGCAGGGCTCAGGTTGCATTGCAGCAGATGGTCTGTAGTTTGCTCTTCTTCACACTCGCAAGTCATGGATTCCACTTTGTAGCCCCATTTCTTAAGGTTGGCTCTGCATCTTGTGGTGCCACAGTCTGTTCAGCGCCTTCCAAGTTGCCCAGTCTTCTGTGTGCCCAAGAGGCAGTCTCTCATTTGGTATCAGCCATGGATGGAGTTTCTGGTTTTAGCATGCCACTTTTGGACTCTTGCTTGCTGAGACGTTCCTGCAAGTATCTCTGTAGATCTTAGAAAACTATTTCTTGAATTAAGGCATTGGCAAGCTAGCTGATACCTGAACAAGGGATGGGCCGGAGATGTCATTTGTCGGAAAACATTGCATTATGGAAATATAGTTTCATCTGTGCTCAATTGATGCATCTATGTGTGTTCTTGGGAAAAATTGACAGCCAAATTGACAAAGAAAAAGCATGATTGTGGTTCACAAATTGAACTTTGAAAAAGTAGATGGAGGGTCTGATTCTGGCAGCCCAAGAACAAGCCATTAGAACAAATGCCACCAGAGCCAGAATTGAAAAGTCGACAACAGATCCCAAATGTAGACTGCAAGGAAGCAGATGAAATAATAGATCATATACTCAACTGCTGCAAGAAGATTGCACAGACAGACTACAAGCAGAGGTATAACACCATTGCTCTGATGATTCATTGGAACTTGTGCCACAAACACCGTCTGCCAGCGACAAAGAACTGGTGGGATCACAAGCCTGAAAAAGTTACAGAAAATGAACATGTCAAACTATTCTGGGACTTCCGAATTCAGACTGACAAGACAGCAGGATTGAAGAGAAACAACTGGAAAAGCTGACACAATATGAGGATTTAAAGATTGAACTACAAAGACTCTGGCACAAGCCAGTAAAGGTGGTCCCAGTGGTGATTGGCACACTAGTTGCATCTGCCAGTTGCAGAAGGCCACCTTACTGGGATCTGCATACATTATTTGCCAATACATCACACAGTCCTAAACACTTGGGAAGTGTCCGACATGTGATCCAATACAACAGCCAGCAGAGTGACCTTATTTATTTATTTATTTGGGGTTCTTGTACCCCGCCCTTCTCACCCCGAAGGGGACCCAGGGCGGCTTACAGCTGCAAGGCGCACTTAGACACCTACCTTGTTTGCTGTGGACTCATCTTGTTGTGTTTCAAATAATAATAATAATAATAATCATCATCATCATCATATTATTACCTCATTACAAGTTTACAGCCCCTGCATATAAAATACTCTAAGGCAGAGTTCAGCCACACAACCCATATTGTGTGGCAGGGCTCTGCCTGACCACTAGCAATTCAAATGTAAGATGCCGCTAATTTACTGAACATATGTTCTTTCTTTCACTAAACTGGCCCAGCCGACACACCTAATGTTTACATAGAATCACTAGAATCCATATAAGTGCAAGAAAGTGGAGCCCTCATGGACCATCCAGTCCAACACCCAACTTGGTGAGCTGAAAATCACATTCAAAGCAGATAGCCATCCAACCTCTGCTTAAAAGCCTCCAAAGAAGGAGCCTCACCACACTACAGGGCAGAGAGTTTCCTGATGAACATCTCTCACAGTCAGGAAGTTCTTCCTAATGTTCAGGTGGAATCTCCTTCCCTGTAGTTTGAATCTATTTTTCTGCATCCTAGTCTCCAGGGCAGCAGAAAACAAGTCCCTATGGCTTCCCCTCACATATTTATACATGGCCATCATGTCTCCTCTCAGCCTTCTCTTCTTCAGGCTAAACATGCCCACCTCATAGGGCTTGTTTTCCAGACCCTTGATCATTTTAGTCATGCCCATCATGTTCCTCTAACCACATATATCACAGCTTGTGGCAGTGAGCCACTGGTCCTTCTCTGATCTAAAGCGTTTGAGAATGTTCTGGAGATGAAAGTGTCAGACAGTTATTTGGCTGAAACACCACATGCATATTTTGTATATAGCCAATTCCCATCTGTCTCACTGCAGTGGATAGGCGAGCATATCATGCTAGATTTCTACATACCTGCAACAGTCTTCCAGGTCCTTAGAAGAGGAGAAAAGTTGTTAAGTTTCACAGGAGTGTATCCTGCACTAGTCCTGGAGACAAAGAACAGAGACTGTTAAGTATAAAAGAGGTTCAAATTTTGGCACTAAATTAAGAAATGGGAGGAGACTGAAACCCCTCCTCTGTACTCTTGCCTTTCAGTCACAATTACTTACTTAGCAAGTTTCGTTCTGTATTCTTGCTTTTTTAAACAGTCTTTTCATATGTCTTCTCAATTAAAAGGAAGGGGAAAGATTTGAAGCAGCCCACATTATTATTTTATGATTATCTGTTTGATATATTATAATTATTCAGATCTTTCATAATACTACATTCTATGTTTAAATGCCTTTTTGAAAAGTATATAACTATCCATACAGGCCATTGTATGCTAATCAAGGTGGTCAGTTGGAACATTCACACCTAGCTCCAAACAGAAGAAGAGTACACCTTTCGTCTTCATGGGACTATTAACAGCATATACTCAAACCCTTTTTTGCCCAATACAAGCTCACAATCAGGCCCTCACCCTACCTTCTGAGGCATGCTTAAGCCAAAGTGCAAGCTCGACAACCGATCAGCGAGAGAGAATACCTCTAGACACCAGGGGTAGCTGGAACACTTGCCGCCCCTCACAGGCTGCTGCGCATGGACTTCAACTCCCACAATATCACCTATGAGCGCCTCATGCAACTATGGGCCCAAGCGTAAGCCTTTGGCGGCGGAAAGGCCGAGCCTCAAGAATTGTGGGGAGATCTGAAGTACCACCACCGGCGTGGAGGCGCACAAAGGTTCCCTACCCTCTATGCTATACCTCAGACCATGGCCAACAGCCGAAAAACCTACAACAATCCAGTGATCCGGCCATTAATGAAAAGCCTATGACAATACATACTATTAACTTAGATTGCTTGTCACGCGAGTTCATCGTATCTCATGCTGTTGATATTTATAATGCCAGCCTTTCGTCAACCATGGGCCCCCGCTAGATCAGTGCCCACGACCCCAGGGGGGGGTACTGAGGAGCTCCGTTCGGTATCATGCAGAGGCAGTTGACCAACATCAGCCATTCGGGAAACTAGCAGTAATTTTCTGTGGAATCATGGCCGTTCTAGTTGTCGGAAGTTTGCGCCTATACAATTTTTATTGTGCTTTTTTTCCGCGGGCGTCAGAACAGTTTTGATTGTAGTATGACGCTAGAACTATAAAACCAGCAATGACAAACTATCCAAATCGTCTAAGCAGTCTTATGTTCCCAAATTCCATTTTCCATCCAGTGCCTTCACAATTTCAGCACATAATCGAGTATTGTGCCACACGTTTTGGTCCAGATCTATCATTGTTTGAGTCCACAGTGCTCTCTGGATGTAGGTGAACAATAACTCCCACCAGAGCCAGTCGCCCACCAAACCCTTCCAGTATTTTCTGTTGGTCATGAGAGTTCTGTGTGCCAAGTTTGGTTCAATTCCATTGTTGATGGAGTTCAGAATGCTCTTTGATTGTAGGTGAACTATAAATTCCAGCAACTACAACTCTCAAATGTCAAGGTCTATTTCCCCCAAACTCCACCAGTGTTCATATTTGGGCATTTTGAGTATTCATGCCAAGCTTGGTCCAGATACATCATTGTTTGTATTCACAGTGCTCTCTGGATATAGGTGAACTACAGCTCCCAAACTCAAGGTCAATGCCCACCAAAACCTTCCAGTATTTTCTGTTGGTCATGGGAGTTCTGTGTGCCAGTTTGGTTCGATTCCATTGTTGGTGGAGTTCAAAATGCTCTTTGATTGTAGCTGAACTATAAATCCCAGCAACTACAACTCCCAAATGACAAAATCAACCCCGCCCAACCCCACCAGTATTCAAATGTGGGTGTATTGGGTATTTGTGCCAAATTTGGTCCAGTGAATACATCCTGCATATCAGATATTTACATTACATTTATGAAGTAGCAACAAAAATAATTTTATGGTTGGGGGTTACCACAAGATAAGGAACTGTATTAAGGGTCGCGGCATTAGGAAGGTTGAGAAACACTGTATTAAAGGTTAGCAAAGTGAAGGCTTAACTGCACAAGGTCAGTTCCTATCTGTTTTAGTGTTGCAAACCCATCCACGTGCAAGAAAGAGGGAGCATGCCAGGATCACCACTCCTCCTTGGGCACTGATATTATTTGCAGAAATGCTTTCAATTAACTGAAAGCGTTTTCAGCTTACCACAGCAACTTGAGTGTATCTTCTCCTAACTTGTGCATTACCCCTTTGTCTATTTCCCCCCTGGAAAGAATTTGCAAATCTAAGATTTTGTACAACATTATGTCACTATTTATTTTATTTTGACTTTTTACTTAACCAAAAAACAACACATTTATTTCATGTCTATGTTGTATAATCAAAATAAATGTGTTATGGGTAGAATGACCACATGAAACATTCTAATTTCCTGCTGACCTATGGTAATCCCTTGAACATTATCGTTTTCTCAGGTGTGCTGTCACGCGCTGGGCCTGTGAAAGAGTCTGTAGACAGGACGTGTTTTCTGAATGCCCAATGGGACGCCGGGGGTGCCTCAGCTGAGAGGCCTTTCGGATTTCCCCACACAAAGTTCTTTTAAAGGCTTAGAAAGTTCAACAAAGTTTTTGTTGCTTAAGTCTTCAATAAATCAAACAAATACTTCAAGGCTTTGAATCAACTGGTGGCTTGCTTAAATCTTGTCCACAAGGGACAGGCAACTTTCTTCATAAACTGTTTCTTCCTTCTACAAGGGAAATCCTTGACCCTCCCTGGGCAATCTGACTTAAGCTCTGCTGGCATGGGCCCCTACACCCGGTCCCAATTGCGTTATGGCTGCCGCGAGTGGTCCTTACCAAACAGAGTCCTTTAGTAGATTTCCAAGAGGAAAGAAGGCTTTCAATTCCCAGCGAAGGCTGGCTGTAAAACCGTGGAGCTGTATTTCTCCAACAAAGGCTATGCTGTAGTTCTCTGTAGAGCTGTGGGACTGGATCCCCCAGCAAAGCTGTAAAAGACGAAGCTTTCTGCAGGTGGAACTGATTCACGTCCTGTAAGAAAGGCTTCTCTGTGTGAACTGAACCAGAGGTCCCCTTCCCCCCAACCCCCTTAACCCAGAAAAAGGAGCAGAACTAGAGAACATAATGATAATTGATGGGTCATTGTCCCCATTATTGCAAACCAAGGGAAACCACCTTATTGCAAAATGCATGAAACTTTGGAATACATGCAAACACTCAATAGAAAGAAAAAGAAATTGGAGCTCCTGGTACAGCCATACCAGCACATCAGGCAAGAAATATTCAGAGGTGGCTTCCTCTAAAATAGGACCTCATCACATGGGCATTAAGCCCTGTCCTAGGATGCTGCCATGATGAAAGGTGGGGCTCCATGCCAGCTCCATGCACGCTATGTCTTGGTAGCATGCTGAATGACTACCCGTGTTCTCATAGAATTAGCCAGGGACAGTGCAGGATCAAACCGGGGTCAGATGGGTCTCCATGTGGGATGGTAAGGGAGCAATGTAGAGCGCAGCCCAATGATTTGCTCCACTGCCCCACAAATACCTTTGGCTTAAGGACCTCTATGTGACAAGGTCCATAGACAACAACACTTACTATTCATTGGTGGTCCCCCAGAACTAACCCTGCATAGCTTCCAAATTCAGGATCTTGTAACCTTTTTGGTATTTGGGTCAGCTATTTTTATATAAATATTTATTTTAGGGAACTGCACATAATTTGAGTGAAATGTATATTGATTTAAAGTCTCTGAATTCTAGACATTGTGTATATGTTATTTTAAAACTGCAGAAAACATGTTATGTGTGAACCCCTGAGAGTAGCATTTTGGCCCACTAAGAAGAGGCTGTACTTGATGTTTGAGTTTAGAAATGGAGGGAGATGGAGAAGATCTGTAATTTCTGGGTCTGAAGAGTAGGCATGTTTTGCTTTGAATTAGGTAATGGTATTTCAAACTCCGTATTTAGGAAGAAAGTAAAAGAGTAAATTCTTTGTCGTGTAATTTGTGTACTGCATTTTCTTGTATTTTGTATTGATTTATTTCTTCTTCCATTACCGTTTTGGGGCTGAGGAGGTATAGCAAACATTCAAAAATATTCAAAACATTCAGGACAAAAACAGCAAAGCATGCTAATCCTGTGCTTGTCTCTTAGCTCTCTCTTTCAATATTCTCACCTCTCCTTCTGTGTTTTCTCCTTTCTTGTAAATATTCTTTTGAACTCTTGCCTACTATTTTCTCAATTGCCTCTCTGAAACTCCTGCTGTACTGTCAGGATTTTGTTTTGCCTATCAAAAGGCTAGCAGACAGAGACGTATAAGAGAGTTAAAGCTTCATTTTCCCCCTCCCTTCTGTTTTCAATTCTGCAATGTAAGAATAACCCTTCTATATATGTTTTTGTGAGTTTTTCAAGATGTAAGTTGAACTCTGGATATTAAAAAGAGATAAGGTTTTTTTTTAAGAAAATAGGGGAGGGACAGTGGGGGAAACAAGATTTGATGGCAAATCAAATGGATAAATCTTAAAGAAAGCAGAGACAAGGATTATGTGTGATGGAGGTAGGAAAATCTGTTTAATTTCAAAACACAGTGTGGTGACGCTTAAGGGAAAACCTATAATCTGAAACATTTTAATTATTCTGTGGGATGAAGTCCCTTGTTAGAAAGSTTTAAAAMGTTTTGMAAAAAGGTGTTTSTGCTTGCTTTCTGAATAATTGTCCAGCACCTCTTTATAAATAATAGCAATAATAAAACTCTATTTATATACTGCTCTATCACCCCTAGGGGAATCAGGGCAGTTTCCATGTAACAAAACATAGAGAGTAAGCAAAACATAAGCATAAAATTATGAAAACAACACATACCGTTTAGGGCAGGGAGCCTTGAATTTGGCTTGGCAACTTATTGGCAGCCAATGAAGCTGTTTTAATAGGGGCATTGTATGCTTCCTATAGTTCGCTTCAGTTAGGACCCTGGCTGGTGCCCATTGTACCAATTGAAATTTACGGGCCGTCTTCAAGGGCAGCCCCATGTAGAGCACATTGCAGTAGTCCAGTCTGGATATAACCAAGGCGTGGACCACCCTGGCCAAGTTAGACTTCATGAAGTATGATCGCAGCTGGCGCACAAGTTTAATCTGTGCAAAGGCCCTCCCAGCCACTGCCGATGCCTGGTCATCAAGCGACAGCGTTGAATCCAGGTGGACCCCCAAGCTATGGACCTATGCCCTCAGGAGGAATGTAACCCTGTTGAGCACAGATTGCCACCCAATACTCTGGTCTTTCTGTGCAGACTGTTAATAAGGCTTCATTTTTCATTCTACAAGCCTGTGTGTTAATTGTCTACAATGCACTGGGTACAAATCCATTGTCCTTTGGGGAACTACAATGACTATAAAGGCCAAATAATCAGCAATCTCAACAGACATTGTTTTGGAAATGTATACTGTTATCAAAAACGAAATGAATGTGCGTCAAGTATAGTCTCCTCATCAAAATATTTGTTTTTGTATACGAGAATTGTGCAATCCCAGGCCATTGTTGTTGTACCAAACACAGTTGTTATCCTGCATTTTAGCAAATATAATGTAGTATCCCTGCCAGGGTCACTTGTTATTCATTAACCTGAAGTTCTCTAGATTTTTGTGTTAAAACTTCTATCAACCTCAGCTGTGGCCAGTGAAAYGTGATCATGGGTCAAAAWATAGTRCAAAATATAGGCATCAGACTGGGCAAGATGTCACTAAAGCATGAAGCTGAAAATATGGGAGAATTCAGAGGAGTTTGAAAGGTCACATACATTTCATTATTTGCAATTTTTGCACAGATAACACTACTATAGTTGTGAGGAAATCAGGAATTCACAACTTCCAGACTTCCGGTAGCGGCAGACGGACTTCCGGTAGCGGCAAGATGGCGGTCYCCCCAGGTCTCCTCATGTTGTGTTGACCCCCAACCATAAAATTATTTTCATTGCTACTTCATAACTATCATTTTGCTGCTGTTATGAACCATAATGTAAATATCTGATATGCAGGGTGTATTTCCATTCACTGGACCAAATTTGGCATAAATACCCAATATGCTCAAATTTGAATACTGGTGGAGTTGGGAGGGGTTGATTTTATCATTTGGGAATTGTAGTTGCTGGGATTTATAGTTCACTTACAATCAAAGCGCACTCTGAACATCACCAATGATGCAACAGAAAATACTGGAAGGGTTTGGGGGCATTGAACCTTGAGTTTTGGGGTTGTAGTTCATAAATAAATAAATAAGTTGTAGTTCACCGATATCCAGAGAGCACTGTGGACTCAAACACTGATGGATCTGGACCAAACTTGGCACAAATACTCAATATGCCCAGATGTGAACACTGGTGATGTTTGGAGGAAATAGACCTTTACATTTGGGAGTTGTAGTTGCTGGGAGTTATAGTTCATCTACAATCAAAGAGCATTCTGAACCCCACCGACGATAGAGTTGGTCCAAACTTCCCACACAGAACCTCCATAACCAACAGAAAATACTATGTTTTCAGACGGTCTTTGGAGACCCCCTCTGACACCCCCTTGCACACCCCCCCCCAGGGGTCCCAGCCCCCAGGTTGAGAAACACTGATTTAGCAAAACTTCATCTGGTCACCCCTGTTTTTAACCCATTCTCTCCCAAATTATAGGTACTGTGTGAAAGTGCCCCCACCGAGAAGAATCACATTTGTTTCATATCTATGTTGTCTAGTCAAAATAAATGGGCTATAGCCAGAGTGGCCATATGAAATGTTCACCAATGAAGATGCTTGCTCACAGTATTTGCTGAACTGTAAAAGTTTGTTGATACATAAATTCTGAGTATAGATGGAAATGTGTTCCTTTGAGTTGCCCCGTTGACCTATGGTGACCCCCATGAATTTTATAGAGTTTTTCAAGCAAGAAATATTCAGAGGTGGTTTTACCAGTTTCTTCCTCTGTAATGTAGTATTTTGTTCAGATTTTCTGAAAGGTTCACTCTGAATTCTTGTAAGATTTTTTTCATTAAAACATATGTGCACATATGCATACTTACACTCCTTACATCCACATGCAATACAACACTGATGCAATATTCATAATGAAATATTCACCAATAATGTTTTTTTTCTTGATTCCAGAATTTTCTTTGTTTCATAAAATTAGCATATTATACTGCATGTTTATCTAACACACAGCAACAGGCTCTCTCTGTAGCTATGCACATCTGTTTCTATGAGAAAGGGAAGATGTTGATGTTGTTCATGGGCCTATGCAGTGGAGATATGGCATGATGTGAGATATGCTTATCATTGCAATTTGTTGTATCCAAGAGCAGAAACACCTCTATCCTTAAACACCACATCAGTATAGTAAAATCAGCAAGTAGTTTATTGAAGGATATATGTAGGCAAAGCAGTAAAAATGATAGAAACAGTGTAGTCCAAAACAGTATATTCTAAAGGTAAGATATAGTCCTTGAACTTCGTGGTAAAAAGGTAAAAAACACAAAATCCAAGGATGCGAAATCCAGAGAACAAGACAGAATGGAAATCAAATACATGAAACAGGAACCTGGCAAAATTTGAAACATGAAACTAGATATCCACTTGGAGAAAGACCATCATGAAGTTCCAACATTGATAAGACTGAACTAAAACCCTTCCCTTGTTTCAATATAAAGCTTTTCCTGTCCCAAGAACCAAAAGGAAAGCATTCCACTTCCCCTTAGAATCAGATAAGGATTTATCTTTCTTTTCCAGCAGATGGATTGACCTTTGCCGATCCTGAGAACTCGGTCTCAGTTTACAAAAGTCTTGTTTTCTGTCTTTACACTCATTAAATTCTGCACCTGACAAATCATCCTCAGAAGACAGTTTCTCAGAGAAAGACTGCTGTGGACCTCTCCCAGGAATTTAACCTCATGAATCTTCAGGAGAAGCACTCTGTTCATGAGACACCCGGGCTTGACTCAGGCCCAGAAAAACCATCATTCCCATTGACATCAAACACAGGCTCAGAAAACCTTTCATCCTCATTTACATCAGACACAATCACAGACTGAACTACAACACAATTGTTCATCAAAGAAATTAGAAAAGTGTGTCTGGAGAACTAATATCTTAATGGTTATTGGTATTAACATATAACAGACTGTCAGATGTATCTGTTCAGCCAATTAAGCATGTCCTTCCTTGCTTCTTCGATGAAAGGCCTATCTTGAGGATTAATGTCTTCTCTTTTGCGGTGTACAAAGCCATGGGTTTGTCCTGGATAAATTTTCACTTCAAAATCAGTTTTGCATTGTTCTTTTAGCTTCCGCTCTACTTCAGCAACCTACAACAGAAAACATCTTCTTAGTACTGGTTCCGAATTAATGTCATCCCACGATCAACAGGACTCATTTCTTATTCCATAGAAAGTTATACAAAGTCAATGAATAGACTCCTTAATAATCTCCCAAAGCAGTTGCTCTACTCCGAACTCAAGAATGGAAAATGGAATGTTGGTGGACAGGAAAAGAGATTTAAAGATGGGCTCAAAGCCAACCTTAAAAACTCTGGCATAGACACTGAGAACTGGGAAGCCCTGGCCCTTCAGCGCTCCAGCTGGAGGTCAGCTGCAACCAGCAATGCTGTAGAATTTGAAGAGGCACGAATGGAGGGCGAAAGAAAGAAACATGCCAAGAGGAAGGCGCATTAAGCCAACCCTGACCGAGATCGCCTTCCACCTGGAAACCAATACCCTCACTGCAGGAGAATATGCAGATCAAGAATAGGGCTCCACAGTCACCTACAGACCCACCAGTACACTGATCTTGGAAGACAATCCTACTCAGACAACGAAGGATGGCCTAAGTAAGTAAGTAAGTAAGTAAGTAAGTAAGTAAGTAAAAGTAAGTAAGTAAGTAAGTAAGTAAAGTATGTTCTTAACATTCAGATGTCTTGTACTGTTGCTTATTTTTTCATAACCCCAACATTTTGCTAATGAGACCCCATTTGATGTCAGGACCCACAGGTTAAGAAGCAGTGCGCTAGGATACAAAATGCTTTGGAATGTAAGAAAGACAGATACACTGTGTCCATAGACTTCATTTTCCACAGGTAATTTTTGTAGTCCTATACATTGTTTCTGCATTACTATTTGTCAACTGTACTTTTTGAAAGAACACCGTACCTGGTCTAGAGGAACAAAATCATCGTTCTCTGCAAACATGAAAAAGGTGGGGTTCTTAAGATCGTAATTGTCCTCGTGAAACCCGATGATTCCTGGAATATATTTGAGGGAAAAAAGCAGCATTAAAATTAAACACTAAACTTCTACTAAGTAAATAGTTTTATATATTTGGTATCACACCTTTTTGCAGTTCCAAAGATTCAAAAACAGGGATGTTATGTAGGAACTATCCATTTTCTGTTTTGGGGGGGAAATGATAAGAAGATCGGAAGATTCAATCACAGGAAGATTTGGGGGCAGCAGAAGACTTAGCTATGGAGGCATAAATTGCGTGAGACACGTATACCGTATATTCTGGCGTATAAGACTACTTTTTAACCCAAGAAAATCTTCTCAAAAGTCAGGGGTCATCTTATATGCAGGAGTCGTCTTACACGCTGGAGTAGCCTTATGCATGGGAGTCGTCTTATATGCGGGAGTAGTCTTATATGCTGGGAGTCGTCTTATAGAGCGGGTGCTGAAACTTCCAATCCGGATTGGAGAATCTGTGGTTGCTGAATATTGTGGGGGGAGCTCAAAAATGGCAGTGGCAGCGACAGTATGAAAGCATTAAGGGTGACGCTGTACAAGTACGGTAGAAGAAAATCCATTCATCAGGATTCGTGGACTTAATGCGGTCCTGATGGTGAGGTGAAGGGGTGCCTCACCGGGAAGGTGTAAGTGAAGGGTGAAGCAAGCTGCAGGCCTCCGGGGTATGGAAAAAAAGAGAGAGAGTGGTTCTGGGCCCAGCAAAACACAACTCTTTTACTTGTCTGGCTCGCCCTTGTATCCTATTACCGCATCTCCTCCTCTGCCTCTCAGATCTCGCTCCTGAAGACTGCAGTGAAGTGGTGCAGGTGCGCATGTGCAAGATCTGAGAGGCAGAGAAGGAGGTACAGTAATAGGAAAATTACCATATTGAAATCAAATCTGATACTTTAAAATTTTTGTTTGGTGTGTGTTGGAAGAGGGGTAGTCTTATACGGCGAGTAGATCCCAAACTCTATAATTTAACTGGAAAAGTTGGGGGTCGTCTTATATGCCCAGTCATCTTATATCCCAATGCAAATCATAGAATCACAGAGTTGGAAGTGAGTCCAACCCCCTGCCAAGAGCAGCAAAATCACATTCAAATCACCCCTGACAGAAGGCCATTCATCCTCTGCTTAAAAGCCTCCAAAGAAGGAGACTCCACCTAACTCCAGGCAGAGAGCTCCACTGCTGAACAGCTCTCACAGTCAGTAAGTTCTTTCCGATCATCGGGTGGAATCTCCTTTCCTGCAGTTTGAAGCCATTTTTCCGCATCCTAGTCTCCAGGGCAGCAGGAAACAAGCTTGCTCCCTCCTCCCTATGCAGGCCCAAATCCCATTGGCTTTTTAAGCTGCTGCATGACATTGTTGGCTCATGTTTAACTTGTTGTCCACGAGGACACCAAGATGTTTTCACACATACTGCTGTCAAGCCAGGCGTCCTCCATTCTGTACTAACCCAAATTTAATACAATGATCACAACTCAGCTACAAGCCATTTTTTTCACATTATGAAGACAAGTTTGGTGATATGTGAATGATTTCTGCTTAAATCATAAGTAATAGCCTAGGATACAGTCTCCAAAGAACGCAGAAGTGTAATCAACCTTAATGGCTCGATTTTTTTGACAGCCAAAAGCATGCTCCAACCTAGAAGTATCAACTTATTTCCATCATCTTTCTGTATAATACATGCAGAGTTTATCAATGTGTACAGACTCCATTGTACATGGCACTTACCACAAATTGATACACCAGCCTTAAATTCCAAATATCTCAACATCAAATGATGAACAACAGCTCCACCCCAGCAAAATCCAATGACACCTATCTCCTTTGCATGACATTGTTTCTTCAGATATTTCAAGACAACGTCTGTTTCCCTGAGATACAAATATGTAGGTAAATGAAGACATTAGTTAAGTAAAGGTAAAAGTAAAGTTAAAGGTTTCTACTGACATTAAGTCTAGTCATGTCCGACTCTGGATGGTGGTGCTCATCTCCATTTCTAAGCCGAAGAGCCGGCACTTTTCAAGGTCACATGGCCAGCATGACTGCGTGGAGTGCCTTTACCTTCCTGCAGAAGCGATACCTATTGATCTACTCACATTTGCATGTTTTCGAACTGCTAAGTTTTGAACTTTTACCTGTTGGTATTTTTGGAATCTCGTGTTTTTAGCCAATCATCATATGTAGCCCAGTCATTTGATCGTTTCCAAGGTTCTTGCCCTTTAAAGAAATCTGGGATAATTGCTCTGTATGGAAAAATAATACAAGCTCAATTATCAACTACTAGTTTTGATATTTTCGAATATTAGCCTATAATGGATAAACGTTGACATCCTACAATCCCCAGCAATGTTTCTTGACCAAAAATAATTTTAAAATAGCTTTTAGTACATATTGGAGAGAAAGAACCATTCACTGTTATCTAGTGAAGGGTTTGTATGAATGCAGAATTCTTTACAAAACTACGAGGGTTGAATGAAAAGTAATGCCTCCACCTTCGTTACTTGGGTTTGGATGGGAATATTGTAATAAATCAAACACAGAAATAATCCTTAGAATGTGCTCTTTAACTACCACTATTCACTTTTCCACATAATCACCAGACAATTGGATACATTTCTGCCAACAATGAACAAGTTTTCTGAAACCGTCACAGAAGAATTCGATACTCTGTTTCCGCAACCAGCATCTCACAGTTCTCTCATCCTGGGTACCTCTATTAAAACAGCTTCATTGGCTGCCAATAAGTTGCCGAGCCAAATTCAAGGTGCAGGTCATGACCTATAAAGCCCTAAACGGTTCGGGCCCCGCCTATCTCCGCAATCGCATCTCCTTCTATGAACCGGCACGAGCTCTAAGATCTTCCGGGGAGGCCCTCCTCTCGGTCCCACTACCGTCTCAAGTGCGGTTGGTGGGGACGAGAGAGAGGGCCTTCTCGGTGGTGGTCCCCCCGTCTCTGGAACGTCCTTTGAAGGGAAATAATACAGGCCCCATCCCTCCCCTCCTTTCGTAAGAGCTTGAAGACCTGATGGTTTCAACAAGCCTTTGAAAATGACCAGTTCTAACTCAGCCCTACACATTGTTGAATACGGCCTTATTCTTCCTACCAATTATCCAGATTCTTTCCTCTAATCAGCCACGGAATGAACAGCCACAGACCCGTACCTAATATTATTGTTGCCTGCCATAGCATTGCACTTAATTCCCGGGCCCCCTAGAATTTTTGGGCTTGCACAAATCTTGGTCCGGCCTTTTAAATTTTTCAACTGCCTTGAACAGGCAAGTTTAGTTTTAATATATGTGTGTTATGGCGACAAATTTTATGCTTATATTTTGTTTGTTAATCTTATGGTTATGTTGTTTTTACTTTGTATGTTTTTGTGATGGTTACCTGGGAACTGCTCTGAGTCCCCACGGGGAGATGGAGCGGTATATAAATAAAGTATTATTATTATTATTACTATTACTATTACTATTACTGTTATTATTATTGTGCACAGATCTTCCAATAGCCAAGCAAAGCAATAATGTGACCCACACGTTCTTGTGAAATGCTGATAATGCTTGAAATTTCTCTCTGAGTGATATGATGATCATCCTGAATCAATCTGTCAACCTTTTGCTTGTGAAACTTGGTGGTTGCTGTCACAGGACGTCCAACTCTTTGTTTGCCAAGCAAGTCAGATGTTCCCACCTCAACATCTTTAAACTTACCCAATGGCGCACAGTGCTCACATCAATACAATCACCATAAACAGCTTGCATTCTCTGATGAATCTCCTTTGGGGTGACACCTTCTGCTGTCAAGAATTCAATGACTGCACGTTGCTTAAGTCGCATTGCACAACCGTCTGCACCGGGTTCCATACTTCGCACTTTAATAACACAACCATTTAATGCTAAGGCTTCCTGCCAAAATGGAACTGTAGAGGAGAGTCTACTGAACAAGCCAGTACCTGCCACATACCAATACTGCCATCTGTTGAGGAATTACGAAGGTGGAGGCATTACTTTTCATTTCATTTGTGTACACAAAATGTATAACCATTTTGTGTAGACCAAACCACACTTGACTTCATGGCAGAAACATTACAGAACATTTCATTCCCTTCTGTATAAAATAGTGTGAGATGTTCCAAGAAATCCTTCGGGAAACAACCAACATGGACCAAGTGGTGCACTGTCGGCCATGTATAGCTAGTTACCCATCTTTGAAATTATACAACCGGATTCTGAAAACAGAAAATTCTACATGAATTGGAATGGTAAAACTCCTCCTCCTTGTCTTTTTTTGCTTCTGCAGCTGAGATTAAAATTAATTATTGCCCAACTATTATCTAAGGGTCACAGATACAATTCTAATGGGTCTATTAAATGCAAAAAATATATGTAACGTAACACAGATTCAGGTGAGGAAAAGGCTACTTCTCAGCCTCAAAGTTCCAGGTATTTTGCATAATTGATTCTATTACTTTGTGTATAAGTTTACAAACAGAGAAGAAATACATTAGATTGCTTTATATACGCAGTGTCCATACTTATAATACTTATAATAAAAGATTTGATGGGTTACCGATTAGGTAAGAAAAATCACGAAACATTTCTTACATATATCCCTTAGATGCAAGCATGTCCGCTATAAATCTGGTATTTGGTAGCTGCCACCCAAAAATGTCGTGTACCACTATGACAGCTTTCCTGGTAGGGTGAGGAGGCTTGATCACGTAAGCACTGATGTGTCCGACAGAAAATTCATGTCCCCGCCCTTCATAGTCAAACCTGTCTCCAAGGTTGCATGGGCAAGGTCTTGCTTTATTGGCCATCTGTCATAATGAAAACAAGATTCACAAAGGTTAATGCAACTGAACTTTGTTGGATTATTCATATATTTATCATATCAGGAGCGAATCAAGGATGCAGTTGTAATGTATTTAAAAAAAACATTAAGTTTAGAAACTTGGCATTCTATTACATGTCCTTTGACCAGTAGCTGGCCAACTGGAGCGCCTCTGGTGTTGCTATAAGAAAGTCCTCCTTTGTGCATGTGGCAAGGCTCTGACTGCATTGTATGGTTTGCTCTTCTCCACTCCTACATGTCGTGGATTCCACTTTGTGGCCCCATTTCTTAAAGTTAGCTCTGCATCTCGTGATGCCAGAGCACAGTCTGTTCAGCACCTTCCAAGTTGCCCAGTCTTCTGTGTGCCCAGGAGGCAGTCTCTCATTTGGTATCAGCCATGGGTTGAGTTTCTGGTTTTAGCCTGACTCTTGTTTGCTGAGATGTTCCTGTGAGGATCTCTGTAGATCTTAGAAAACTATTTCTTGAATTAAGGCATTGGCAAGCTAGCTGATACCTGAACAAGGGATGGGTCGGAGATGTCATTTGTTGGAAAACATTGCATTATGGAAATATAGTTTCATCTGTGCTCAGTTGATGCATCTATGTGTGTGTGAACCTGATGAACTGTAGCTTCAGAGATCTATTATTCAGCCTCAAAAGTTTCTTTCCACATGAACTGTGTTAAAATTAAAATCAAACCTACTTCTTCAGTAATTTTGAAATATGTTAATACGACTATGGAAATATTTGGTTAATGAATACCAAATGGTCTTTAGAACAGTCCTTGTGATTGCTAGCAACAGATATAAAGGTAAATTCAACATGTTGCTGCTTATGCCCATAACAGCATGCCCAGAGATTATCTCCCAATCCTTCAAAGCTGTTTAGGGTGGCTGGTGCTTTGGGAAAATCTGTAGCACAAAGGTGAAATTATACCTTTGGATGGGATTCTCACTGTGTACTTTCCATCATTCCCATTTCTTTGCAGACTTGGAGGAAGTTTTTGTACAGCACATTCTTATTTGGTGAATTATTGGTGTTTCTTCACAGTGTTTACAAATCTTCATATCTTTCTGTGCATAGCTGTAGCCTTTCTTTTTGACATTTGTGTTATACATAAAAATGGTTAAATATTATACAGCACTGAAGCTGAACTCTGTTCACATTTAGCTTACAGATCATGTTATCATACTATCACACGATGCTCTGAGTCTCCCTTCGGGGTGAGAAGGGCTGGGTATCAATACAATAAATAATAATAATAATAATAATAATAATAATAATAATAATAATAATAATAGAAGCATGCACTGGCAGATTATGTGAAAAGCAGTTAAGAACCAACATTGAGGGAAGTCAATAGTAGTAAATGGCTTAAAGTGCAAAAGACAAAGAGTGAAGACTGTAAAAATGCAATGCAGAGCAGAAGAGAATACTGGCAAAAGAAGACTCTCCATGGACAGTTCCTGGGAAAAATTGACAGCCAAATTGACAAAGAAAAAGCATGGATGTGGCTCACAAATTGAACTTTGAAAAAGGAGACGGAGAATAAGCCATTAGAACAAATGCCACCAGAGCCAGAATTGAAAAGTCAACAACAGATCCCAAATGTAGACTGCAAGGAAGCAGATGAAACAATAGATCATATACTCAATTGCTGCAAGAAGATTGCACAGACAGACTACAAGCAGAGGTATAACACGATTGCTCAGATGATTCATTGGAACTTGTGCCACGAACACCATCTGCCAGCGACAAAGAACTGGTGGGATCACAAGCCTGAAAAAGTTACAGAAAATGAACATGTCAAACTATTCTGGGACTTCCAAATTCAGACAGACAGAGTTTTGGAGCACAATACTCCTGACCTCACAATCGTGTTAAAAAAACAGAGTGTGGATCGTCGATGTTGCCATCCCAGGAGACAGCAGGATTGAAGAGAAACAACTGGAAAAACTGACACAATATGAGGATTTAAAGACTGAACTGCAAAGACTGTGGCAACCAGTTAAGGTGGTCCCAGTGGTGATCAGCACACTGGGTGCAGTGCCTAAAGACCTTGGCCTGCACTTAAACACAACTGGCACTGACAAGATTACCATCTGCCAACTTCAAAAGGCCACCTTACTGGGATCTGCATGCATTATTCACCAATCCATCACACAGTCCTAGACATTTGGGAAGTGTCCGACGTGTGATCCAATGCAACAGCCAGCAGAGTGACCTTATTTTCTGTGGACTCATCTTGTTGTGTTTAATAATAATAATGATGATAATAATAATAATAATAATAATAATAATAATAATAAATCACAAGGAGGCTTTCATGAAGAGAACTGTTGTTATGTCAGCCGAAATGGGAAAAGTTAATATTCTATCCAAAGTGTGACCACTACAGACCTCATCACACTGGCCAATGTGAGCATCCTAGGAAACTTGCTGGCCAGTTGAGGGACAGATGGGCGTGTAGCCCATCACACTATGTCCCTCAACTTCCAGCAGAGGCCCCTCCCCCAATCAGCATTGATTATTTTACTCTATTATTATTACATTTACATTATTTTGCTGTATTATTATATTTATTGCATGCATTATTTTTTGCATTTATTATTGCATTTATTATTTTATTCTATTATTGTTATTATTACATTTATTACTTTATTGTTATTACTATTATTATTAAATTCCCATTATTTACTCTATTATTATTTTTATTACATGTTATTACATTTATTATTTTATTCTTTCATTATAGGTAATTTGTTCTATCATTATAGGTAATTTACATTGAAGGAGGTTAGAATAATGGTTGAATCAGAGTTGGGTAGTCTTATCTTCCGGTTCCGGTATGGCGGTCAGCAGCAGCAACGCTGAGCTGCGTTGACAGAGAAAGAACAGAGAAAGAATAATCTTGGAGAATCCTCCCCCCCGACCACCAAATAAGGGGGTGTGAGGTCAGCACCCACTGCGGTCTTGCTGGACCTGAGAGAGAGCTGGAGGGAGCGAGGGAGCCAGGGAGAGAGAGAGCCAGGAAGGCGGAGGTAGGCGAGGGAACGCCGCCGCCATTACAACGCGGCCACCTCCTCAAGAAACCTACCTACCTGGGCCTGGTCGGCCGTCCGGCTCGCCGAACCGCCTGGGCTCCAATCCAGGGCTTCGGTTCCCGCTGGGGGGGCCCTCTTGCGGCGCTGCCGCCCAGGCTGCTGCTGCTGGGACGCTGCGGAGCACGCCGCGGCTGCTGCGGTCGCCATCTTGGCGTCTTGCCGTCGCTGCCAGATCTCGCTTCTGCGTGGAGGAGGCAGCTGGAAGAGAGGCAGCCAGGCAGCCAGGAGGCCGAGAAGAGGCGGGCCGCCGCCGCCGCCGGCTGCCGTCCTGTTCCCTTGCGGAGTGCTGGGGAGGAGTGAGTTGGAATCTTTCGCAGCAACCGGCAGCAACCGGCGCCGAGGCTGCCGCCGCGAGCGCCGCGAACGGCTGGGCCTCCGCTGGGGGGCCTACTCCAGGTGAATCGCTGCACCGCGGGGATCGCTTGAGCCGGGCCCTGGCCGTCTGAGCCTTGCTGCCCTTACCATCGGGCCTCGTTCTCCCCTCTGTGGAGTGTGGGGAGCGAGTTTGGGGCCTATTGCTGGGGCCGAAGCCGCTGCCGCCACGAACGCCGTGAGCGCCGCTCCAACTAGGCCTTTGCCATCTGGGCCTTATGAAGCAGGCCGCTAAGCCGTGAGCACTGCTCCAGCTGGGCCCTTACCATCTGACCTCGTCGTTCGGCCTGTACAGGACGCCCCGCCGCCTGGCCCAACATCGCCCAACACAGCCACCCCTCATCATCTGGGCCTTTTACCATCTGAGCCTGTATCGGTCGCTGAGCCTCCACTACCTGGGCCTTGCCAGGCGGGCCGCAGCGCCGCGGGGGCTGCCTGGATCGGGCCCTGGCCTCACCACCTTTTACCATCTGGGCCTTACCACCTGGGCAAGCCGTGTGCAGACCTTCCTTGTGCTGTCCCTCTCTGTGTTGACCGATATTGTGTAGACCTTTTTGTGCTAACCTTTCTCTGTGTTGACCGATATTGTCCAACTTGTGCTGACCACCACCGTGTCGACCATCTCCGGAAGACTGAGAACATCCGCTGTTTTACATCAGCCGTCTATAGATTACACCTTGAATCATAATAACGTTACTAGCTGATATTATTGCCAACTCCTTAGTGTTGTGTTTACATATTGCTAATATAGCACGTTCCTTAACTACCTTGCTGCTAATTGGTACTAAGAACGCAATATAGCACTTTAAGGCTCTTTTGCTGCTAAACTGTACTAGCACTTACGCTCCCTTCCCCTATCCCTCCATGCCGCACTTTAGATATCGCTGAGGGCCAGATTTGGGTATTTTGTCGCACTTTAAGATCCTTGCACTTTATGAGTTGTTCCGGATTGTCAGAGGTCTTTTAACTCCCGCCACTTCAGGCGGGAGCCCTGACAATTCGGCCTCGCGCTGCGAAGCATTTGCTCAGTTCTTTGCAGACAAAGTCGCCTTGATCCGTTCTGGGCTGGACACCATGTTAAATGCAGTCTCTGAGGATGTGACACGAGCACCTGCTTTCCTATTTTGATGGATTCTTTTCAGTTTGTGAAGCACGAGGATGTGGACAAGATACTTGGAGGAATGAGGCCCACCACGTCCATCCTAGACCCCTGCCCATCCTGGCTTCTGAAGGAGGCCAGAGGGGGATTGGCTGAGTGGGTAACGGTGGTGGTTAATGCCTCCCTTCGGGAAGGCAATATTCCAGCGAGCTTAAAACAAGCTATTATAAAACGCTGTTGAAGAAACCATCATTGGACCCCACTAAATTTGACAACTTTCGGCCTGTTTCCAATCTCCCCTTTTTGGGCAAAGTCATGGAAAGCGTGGTGGCCTCACAACTCCAGGTATTCTTGAGAGACACGGATTATCTGGATTCGGCACAGTCTGGTTTCAGACCGGGACATGGAACT